TGGCTCATTTTGTTTCCTTTCTCTCAAGAGCCGCAGGCAGCTGAGTAGCTGCCCTTTAAAAATAGCCACATGGTGTGTAAGCCAGGTCTACAGTTTGGGAATGTGCTGCTGGGGAGAGAGGCTCAGCAGAAAGGAACCTGTGAACTTCTGAGCAAAGCTAAGATTTCCTCTAGTTCTGAGTCCATAATTAAGTCAAGCTCTTTGGCACAGCATGGAGACGGTTCTGCGGCAGCTGAGGAGGGATGTAATGCAGAGGTCTGATCAGAGTGTTTGCGTGATGTGTGGAAAAAGAGGGGGGGCCTGTGTGTATCTGTGCTAGGATATAGCGTAAAGAAGCCGTTTCAGGCTCCTGGCTTGCCATGCTGGATCAGAACTCCAAGGAGGCCGTGTGTGTTTTGCTTCAGATCTGCACGTTCCTTTTCAAAATACTACGCCGCAGCGGCTGATGCCTGTGGAGGTCTGACATGAAGGCAGCTGCACGTAGACTCGGGTTGCACGGGGCAGCTGTGGTGGTGTGATGGGGCAGCAGTGTGGCTTTGTTCCTGCGGGGAGCCCTCGTTAGCCGAGTTCACTGGAAACAGTTCTCCAGAGTCGAGATTTGGATGCAGAGCTGTGAGAGTTAGTGCGATGATGTGCTGAGGGACTTCACTGCAGTGGCTTCTGTATTAGTGAGGGGGTGTCGGGTGTCAGGGCAGGAGTGGTTTGTGAAGTAAGTGGGTTTGGGTTGCAAAAGGGATACTGTGTTGTTGAGTTGGTTACAGCTATTCGTCTGCTTAGCAAATATTTTTTGGTTGCCTACTTTGCCCGGGCATTTGCTGGGCACTACAGAGATGAAAGTGAACAGGGTAACCAGGATTCTGGCTACTTTGGAGCCTTCGGTCTAGCCATTTGGAAGGGTACAATCACATACTTTCTCGTTACTGAGTTGGCTGGTGATCTGACTCGGTTGCTGGAAAAAGAGCCCGTTCTCTCTAGTCTTGTAGAATTTGCCTGCCTGGGCCCTTGGTGAGTTCAGGGCGTTTCAGCTCATGTGCGTCCTCCTTCTACCTTCTCAGTCATGAAATAAAGGCTGTTCTCCAGCCCCATGTTCTGAAATGTCACCAGGGTCACCTGATTCAGGAAGACCTAGAAGGTCCCATCAAATATTTACTCCCTCTGGACGCTCTTGCCTCTGGAGCAGCAGACTTTCTCTGTAAAGCTCGGTGCGCGCGGTTTGGGCTTCCCACTGACAGCTCGAAGGCATCTGCTCCAACCACAGTAAAGACAACCAGAGCCGGCCTGGGACTTCTGTGTCAGAGTCTCCAGGCTCCTCTGAGAATTAATCTTTCCATCCCTTCTCTCTGCATGGAGATTTCTGTCCTTGGAGACAGGGTCAAGACCAAGAGAAGGGAAATGAGGTTCTGAATATAGAAACTTCCAGATAGGATCTGCTTAGGGCAAAATATAGCCCTGGGGAAGTGTATTTTTCTTGTCTCCCAAGTTCCTATTTTTTTTTTTAGCCTTCGGTAAATCATTTAATCTCAGTAAGCCTGTGTTTCTTTATCTGCAAAATAGAATCATAGTATTTCAGTGGGTTGGGGGAAATTCAATGGGATATAGAGATATGTATAGAAACTAGCCCTGTGAGTGGCCCAGAGCAAGGGTCCATGGATGTTAGTTATTACTACTGATGTTGTTATTGTTTGTTAACCACCAAGGGCTGTGTCAGGACTTCTTTCCATTCATAATAGAGTCAGGGAGGGCCAGAGGCCGAAGTGACATTGAGGGTACCAAGACAGACTCCTGCGTGAGGGAGACAGGAATTAGGATTCTTCCATTGACCTCACAGAGCAACCTTACTGCCTGCAGGGAGATGGTGTGGTTTCGAGGCTACAGCAGGGAATGGTGGCTTGGAAGAGAAGGAAGCTGCAGGTTCCAGTCCCAGCAATGTCACTTCCTATTGCTGTCACCGCAGGTCTGCTATTTCCTCTCTCTGGTCGGGTTTCTTCATCCAGAAATGAGATTGACAAAATATACCTTGCAGAGCTATTATGAGGGTTATACAGGATTAAGGATGTCAAATGGCCTGGCTCCAAGTAAGTGCTATAAAAAGGTTCAGCCTTCATTAATGTTGTTATTATTATTATTATTATTATTATTATTATTAATAGATTAATTGTCAGAATGAGGGCCTATGTAAGATGCTTTGAAAGCTATTTCTGAGCCAAGTGAGGAAGGCCATTAAAGGACGATGCTAAATGACAAAGGACCTCCCCTAGTACCCTCTGTGGCCAGCTAAGGTCAATCCACCCAGCTGCCTAGAAAGAAGATGTGGTATCAGAAATTAAATCAGAATAGGCATGACTTGGGGGCAACTCTTGGAAGACCCTTTTAAGAACAGTCTTCCCATTCCTTACCCCGAGCTTGGGAAGAAACACCTCTTGGATGGAGGCAAATGTGAATAAAACCCATAGCTCCACCCCATCCTTTCCCTTTCTCTAGCTATAGAGACATCTGTTCTGATTTGAGTAGGCTAGCCCAGTTCCCAAACTGCTTTGCACATAACAGAATTCAAGGTATGTAATGCATGAAAAACTGAATGACTGGTTATGTCCAGTCTTTGGACTTCAGAGTTTCTTAGTTCCTGTAGTTTAGATGAGAGAGGGAGACCACGATGGTTTGCCTCCTAGCAGCTAGAACGAGGGCTTCGATATGTTACCCATCCTGCCAGCCAAGGCGCTCCCTACTGCTCCCCGGGAGGGCTGGGAGCCCCTGTGGCTTTTCTCTGGGGCCTGGGGAAGGGGAAGAGAAGGTCAGTTGTGGTTAACATCAGTCACAGGTGATAGGAGTGACTTTGTATCAGTTCGTAGGTTTTGTGGAAGCAACACTGGTACTTGAGACCTCTGTCCAGAGCCCAGTAAGCGATGGACCAAATGTCATCTCATTACCTTATCTTCATAGCAACCTGTGAAAGTTAGCATTATGTTCTCCTATTTTAGAGATGAGGAAACAGGCTCAAGAGAGGGGCAGTGGCTTGTTCAAAGGTCATGGAGGAAGTAAATGGCAGGACTGTGATGTGGTGTGTCTCTCTCCAACCAACCTACCTGCCAGGGTCACGCCATGTCGGCTGGTGGAAAGTCACATACGTGTGTTTCCTATTTGTCAGAAGCATCCACAAAGCACCTCTCAGGTTACGACCCAGCTTTCCCAGAGTGCCTTAACGCTGGGCCACCATTCAAGTTCAAATGCTGGCGAGAGGACTGGTCAGGGCCCAAAGCCAGCCTCCCCCCTAATCAGGAATCATCAGCAATGGGTTTATCCTTCTCATCCCTCTGATCCTATTATCCCATTCCAGAACTCTTAAGTGTGGCTTCTGGAGGCCTGGGGGCTGCTGCCGCAGTGCATAGGGTTGGGGAGGTAGGGCAATGCGATGTGCTTTGCTCCTTAGGGAAACCCCCACCATTCAACCCTTCATAAAATTCCTGCTGAAGGTCGGGCCATCTGCCTGCTCAAGGTCAGTATTTACTCTGGTCCCTCAGAACGACCACCGCCCTATCTGACCAACCCAAAACAGCGTAGGCAAGCTCTGGGTTTGAATCCCAAATCCCCTGCTGCCCTTAAGCCTCCAGCTAGTGTCAGAACCCTCTCCCTAAATAAGGTGGGCTTTCTTCAAAGTGCATGACTTCTCCATAGGGGCCTGGTTTTGCTGTCTCCCGTTTCCAAGAACAGAGGCAAATCCAAGGTCGACAAATGGGTACTGTGCTCTGAGCTGGCCTGCAGGGGGCGGGAGTCACCAGGGCTGACCCAGTGGGTGTGCCCTGCTGTGTGAAAGGAGGCTCCTGCCAGGGCCTTTAAGACCAAGGCCAGGCAGAGGAGGAGCATCTTCTTGGTGCTCGGCACTGTACCAAGCCTTTAGAGTGCATTATCTCATTAACCCCTCACAAGAGTCCCATGAGGGAAGGGTTATTCGAGTACACATTTTATAAATAAAGAAACTGAGGCTCAGAAAGCTGAACAAGTCCTCGAGGTCACATAATTGGTAGGCAGCAGGACAAGATTTGAACCCAAGTCTGTCAAATTCTGCGCTTAAGCTCTTTACCTCTATATCAGTAGTTCTCAACACTGGCTGCAGATTAGAATTACCTGCACTATTAAACAACACCAATATGCAGGGCTCACCTACACCCACTCCATCAGCATCCCCATGGATTCTGGTCTGCAGCCAGCACCGAGGACCTCTGCTTTACACCGTGCTGCCTTTTTGTGTGTTCACCCATTTAGTTAATATGCACTGGGTTTGTACCTGGAGCCTAACTCATCTCCCCTCTGGGGTCCATGGTGGGTTCTAGCTTTTCAAAAGAGTTTGCAGATGGTCAATGTTCTAGATTTCATCTACAAGTCTTTCCTGATCCCCTCAGACCAAGTCAGATCCCTCTGTCTCATATTTTCAGAGTTTTTGTGTTTCTCCTTCATAGCATTTCCCTGAAATGTAATTAAGTACGTTGTTAGCTCTTTAATATCTCCTGCCCTCCTGTTAGAATATAGGCTCCCTGAAAGCAAGGACCATGTTTATCTTGTTCCCACAATGTTCCCGGAGCCAAGCACATGGGACAAGTGAAACTTCTTTCTTCCATTTTAATAATTACTTACCAAGTACCTGTTATGTGCTACACACTTTTCCTATGGACACCTTATAACCAAGTGTGGAAACAGAGCTCAGAAGCCGGCAGAGCCAGGACTCAATTCCAGGCTTCCAGAGCCTTCCCATTCATCTGAGTCCATTGCTCTTCCCGTGACCCTGCCTTGCCACTCTGGTCTCTGGTTTGGAGGAACAGGTGTTTGAAGAAAGCATTTTGGTTACCTATTAGCTCCTCCCATGCCAGCCCTCAACAGCGTCTTCGCCTCTTTTCCTGCCCTGGAGGTGTCAGCAACCCTCCCCCAACCCCCTCCTCCTGTCCTCAGGGGCTGCCCCTCCCTCTCCTTATCTCCTCCCGGAGGTTTGCCTGCTGAATGACTCCCCTGATTAAACTATTCCATTGTCGTCAGCAGTCCCGTCACAAGAGCTATCCAGGGACTTCCTTCCCCAGCCCTTTGGGAGCGGACCTGTGGCACCTGGGCAGCGCCCCCACCCATCTTCCCTCGGGGGGGGTTCTGACTAGTCCCCGGAAACTGGACCGAAAGTCCCTCTGAGAGGAGCCTCTCTGAACTGAAACTTACAAACGGTGCCTGTAAAGGTTTTTGCATCCTGAGAAGAGTTCAGCCTCCCAGCCTAACTCTGGTGCCCCCTACTGGGAGAAGCTGGGTGCAGGGAAAAGGGGACACTTCCTCTTCTGGCTCCCCTGGCTCGGGCTATAGGTCTCGAAGGTGACAAGTGAGGCTTTCGATGAATTCCCATCAAAGCTGGAGCCTGGAGGGACCAGGAATTGTCAGTTACCTAAAAAGTTCTACCCGTGAGACCTTGAAGACCGGTTTGCAAAGGGTGGCCTCTCTGCTCTGCACCCTGAGGAAGCTGGGGACAGATCCTTGCTCAGGATCAGACAGAGGATTAGAAGGTTCATAACCCTGGCTTGCTCCCGCCTGCTGTGCCAGCACTGCCTCCATCAGGACCCGCTCAGGGCTGGCTCTCAATTTCCCTTGGGTGGGAGAGACAGCACACTGCGAAGGGAGCAGAAGGAGCTGCCGTTGGCTCAGCTGTGCGTCCAGCCTTGGAGCCTCATCCCATTTCAATGACGAGGCAAGTGTGAAAAATGGAGCGTGATGGAGAGTCGTCACAAGATCTCCCAGAGCCTCAACTGGAGCTGCCGGCTCTCAATCCAGCTTCAATTACCGGGGGGCAATTAAGATGCGTGTTTGTTCCTGGGTACTTGCGTATGCGTGTGTGTGTGTGTGTGTTTGTGTGTGTGTGTGTGTGTGTTGCATGTGTGTCTATGAATGCACACAGAAGGCTGGAAACTGAGAGGCACCCTGGCTTTGGGGGCCCAAAGTAGCCTGCTTCCCCTTCTGGGTCTGCTGGCCTATTTCCCAGCCGCAGCTGCCATTCTGGGCTCCCCTCCCCGAGGCAATCTCCCTGCAGATTTGACAGCGGGAGAGGAGGGGCCGAGGGAAGGGGAGTGAACCGGGGAGCGGACTCAGCTCTAATCTGATGTAGATGATCCGGCTGTCTTCTCCAGCTTGGCTGCCCTCTGCCATCCGCTCTCCAGGCGATTTTCTCTGTGCCTGCACTCTCCCCTCCTGCCTTCATCTCCTTAAGAAAGTGTCCAGAAAGTTAAACCTCCACACACAAACACACACACAATCCACCACAAAAAAAAAAAATCAGGGAGCAGGAGCAGGCAGACGAGTAAGAGAGCACGCGCGCAAGAGAGAGGGCTCAGATCGGTCTTGGAGGAAGAGCGGCGCAGGCAGAGGGAGGCTGGGGTTGGCGGTGACTGGGACTAAGATCTCTTAGACCCCAGGAGCCTCCTTCATGGACCCGGGGATCCTGAGAGGGGCTGTCTCAGCTTAGGATGGGCAACTGTGTCAAGTCTCCACTGAGAAATCTCTCAAGGAAGGTATGTTTCTTGGAGTTCCCAAGATGGGGTGAGGGGGGCGGTTGGGCATCTTGCCATCTGCCCTAGAGGCTGGGTGCGGAGACGGTGGGCATCTGAAGCTTGCTACCCTTCCCGTGGGTTCTGTCTAGAGCCGCTTCCCTGTTCCTACCTCCAGATTCCCTCCCCTCACAGTTTTCTATGTCCCAGGCTCTGAGCTGAAGTTGGGACTTAGAGTTGCACGGGGAGCTGCGTTTGGGAATTTGCACGAGATTTAGGAAAGAAACCGCTAGCTCCTGGGCTGTAAAGTGAAAAGCCCAGATCCTTAGGATGTGACTGGACAGACCTCACCTTGGAGCTAGTGGGATCAGAAGAGGGTTTTGACCGTGCTGCTGCTGTGGTTCCATCCCAGCAGTGGGAGGGGGCTGATTCATCTCCTTTGAGGGTCTCTGATCCTCTCTAGTGGTCTGTAAGCCTTCAGAGTTGTGAGTTTTGAAATAGATCCTACTACTACTGAAAGGAACCAAGGCGGGTGTCCCTTCTAGCCTTGATAGTTCTTGAGTCAGGTCAGAGAATTGCAACTAGGACTAGACCCAGGGTTGTTTCCACTGAGAAATAGGATATAGAGCAAAGGCAGATGTAAGTTGCTCTCTGTAGTAGATGTATTGCTTATACACCAGGATAATATCCTTTTGCAAGAATTCCTGTCGGAAAGCAAATAATCACCTCCAAAGCTCTTTCCTGCAAGCCTGGGCTTACGTGTGTAGGGTCTTTCTTGAGGAGGGCTCTGCCTGTATTTCCAGCCCTCTGTAGTCAGAGAAGAAACTCATAGATATTATTTAAAGGAAGAAGAAACGGTAAGGATGTTTTCCTCCCATTCTTTCATTTTCCAGACAAAGAACTTGATTGCCACTCAGGTTAAGTGACTTACCCAAGGTCTCAGGTTAGCTGATGGCACCTCTGCCCCCAACCCCATCCTACCTCCTCGGTTAGTTTGACAGCCTCTCGATTTAGGACATTTTGGGCTTTTCTGCTCATCGTCTTCCTCACTTAGCTAAGCTGCTCACATCAAATTCCTCTTAATCTTCACTGTTCCTTGGATCCTTCTGAGGGCTGACTGTTTCTTCTGTGCACACCCCCCGCCATCATCTGTCATCTTAAAGGAGAGTCGTTTGCATCAGAAGTGGCCTCCACACTGTTGCAGAGAAGCAGAGATGGATCTGAATTAGTCCAGAGGACCGCTTCTCCTGGGTTCTGTCCAGAGCTTAATTAAAGAGGTGAACTTAAGAACAAGAGTTGTCCTTCTGTCCCATCCCACCTGTCTTCCCTTACACAGGAGAGCCCCTAAGAGTCAGACTCCTCAGGCCTCCTCTTTCTAGCCATATGACCTTGGATAAATTACTTGACCTCTCTGGGTCTCAGTTCCCTAGTCCATCAAGTGGAAATCCTAACATCTACCACCTAAGGTGATCTAAAGGGCTAAATTGCTGTGAACACTGCCTGGAATACAGTACTCAGTAAGTGCTAGTTAGTATTATCATCATAATCATAATTTTTCCACTCTGGGTTTTCTGAGAAGGGGGATGGAGGAAAAAAGGAAAACAGGTGAGGTTTTGAGTCTCCGGCACAAGATCATAAAATTTGTTGCATTCAATTTCATGGGGTTTTTTTCATAGTAATAATTGCTTTTTTCCTGAATAGCTACAATATCTTCAATATTGGTTATCTCATTTGCTCTTTTCTGCCAAGTAGTTCTCTTGGCTATTTTATCAAGAAAGGAGCTAGACTCAGAGATAAGAGCTTTCCTGAGATCCCACAGCCCCCTGGAAGCGAGGCTGGGATGTAAACCTAGTCTGTGTGAATCCAAGGCTGGTATTTTGTTTTTATTTTTGCCTCTAAAAGAGGCTGCCTCTCTCTTTTTCCTGCAGAGAAGGTATTCTTGGAGATGGTGTTCATAGAGTCCCTGCGGCAATGCCCTAGGGAACACTGTCAGCTGTTGCCCACTTGGCTTCCTAAGTGGTAGCCGGGATTTGATCACAGACAGAGAGAGGCAAACTCTTACAGGCTCTGAGCAGGGCAGGACCAGCTGTCAGGTACCATCAGTGGCCGGGGAAGAACAGCAACCTCCCGGGGCAACCTGGTGCCAGGCAGGGTTATGACCAAGAGATGCAGTGGAAATTCCCCAGTCGTCACTGCTTCATCCTTTGTGGGAGAAAATTTTTCTCTACCCTTCTCACTTCTTTCCTGATTGGCAAATATTCTCCCACTTCCTCTGCAGCCAGAAGTAAATGCCTTCTGGCACCCAGTATCTCTTAAGTTGCATCATCATCATCATTGTCATCATCGTTTTCATCGTCATTGTCATCACCATGGCAACTCCACGTAGTCTGCTCTTACCACGCTCTAGGCACAATGAAATAGCTCATTTACCTCTCACAGAATCCTGTGACGAGCCTTGATTATCCCCGTCATACAGAGCAGGAAGCCAGAGCACAGAGAGGTGAAGTGGCCTGCCAAAGGTCACACAGCAAGCAAGCAGCAGAGCCAGAATTTGTCCCCAAGACTGAGTCCAAAGCCAGTTATACTAAAGCTCCTCCCGGAGTTCTGTGCCGCCTGCTGCCTCCTCCTCCTGGGTGCGCTGATCTGAGCCAAGGGAGTGAGAGTCAGCCAGAACCGAAGAAAAGGCATCTCCTGGGATTACTTCCTGGGGTTAAGCCACTGTCAACTCCCAGGCTTCCTCTGAGCCACCCTCCCAGTCGGGAAAGTCTCTCTGGTCCTGCCCTTGCTCTAGCCTGGTCCCTGAAGCTTGCATGAGTGTGGCTGAGGTGCTGAACCTCTGCTGGCCATTAAACCAGAGTGGATCCCTGGTCATGTCTGACACCCTCAAGTTCTAAGATGACCTGGAGTGACCCTTATGGCACTCTGAACTTGGGCCTTGGACTGAGGTCCTGCACCTCGGGTCTGAGTTGCTGCTTACCTTTTGAGGAACCAGAATATTGTTCCTTCTTCTCTGGAAGAAGCTTAGGAAGTTGGAAGGGAGTCTAGACTGTAGCCCCCAGTGTGGGGCTTTGGGGAGAAGGAGCATGAAGGGACAAGGTGAGATGGGGAAGTGGCTCTGCTTCTCCGCCTGGGAGGGCAGCCTACCCTTTAGATCTTAGGATCTTCTGCTGGACGTGGCCTTCTTTGAGCTGGAGGAACCTGGCAGCCGAGGGTGCAGCCGGATGGATGGGCAGGGTGTGCAGAACCCCAGAGCTCTAAGTTTCCACTGCTCTCTCTTTCCTTGGAAGGTTTGGCTTCAAATCCGCATGTAGGGGGGAGGAATCCAAGCTCAGGGCTGAAGGCAGTCTGCCCTGACCTGGGTTCCGGGGGGACACTGGGCATCCTGGTTGAGGGGGCTGGGGGGAATAGAATGTTATGTCTGGGCGCTGCTGTGGTCCTAAGGGGACAGTCTGTGGGCAGTGCTGACTTTTTATAGCTGCGTGGGAACCATCAGGGAGGAGGATGGGTTGACCGGGGCCTGGGAGCACAGCTATATTCGGTAAGCAGAGAGGGCCCCTGCCTCAGCCTCTGGAGGTCCTGCGGGCTGGGCCAGGCAGGGAGCCAGGGAGGGCAGGAGGGGCTAGGAGGAGGCTTGCTGGTGGTAGACAGCGTCCAGGCTCAAGGCCACAAACTGGGTGGAATCTGTCCCACAGATGCGCTTTGTTTAGCCACTCGATGCTTTAAATCAGAAGGTCTGGCAACACCAGGCTGGAGTTATGTAATGCTGTCCCTTCAGAAGGGACACACGGCATCCATTTTGCCCCAGGCCCCACCTCTCACACCTGCCTGCTTCATTTCCATTCGCTATAGCACCTGCGTCTGCAACTTCTGGTCTAGCAGACTAGCTGAGCCTGCTCTCTGGGGCCAGCTCTGATAGTCCTCACTGACTTCCAGTGGGTTCCAGAGGGAGTAGGGTCAAAAGTCAGTGGAGGGCTTAGCCCCAGGAATTGTATGGGGCTGTTGGGAGCATCCTGGGAAAGGACATTATTCCCTGAATGCGCAGGAGCCTCCCTCTGCCTGTTTCTCTCTCTGAGCTTCTGCATGCGCACGAGCGTGTGGTTCTGTGCACGTGTGTGTGTGTGTGTGAGTGCCCGCATGTGTGCCACACAGTGGGTATCACACCCAGTTCTCCTTGGAGCATCGTTTTGGTCAAGGATCGGCGACTCCATCCGCTGGACCAGTTTGATGCCTGCCCCCATACATCTTGAGGGCTCTCTGCACCCAGCTGTTTGCCTCTCAGAGGTCTTCTCTTAAGAAGGGCCCCTTCTGGGGGCAGGAGGACCCAGTTGGGCAGAGAGGTGATGCTCTGCCTCTTTTGTATTTGCTGGGTGCCGGCTGAAGATGCGCCAGGAGGAGACCAGCTACACGGTGGTACAGACGAGCGAGGAGGGGCTGGCAGCCAGCAGCGAGCTCCCCGGACCACTCCTGATGCTGGCCCAGAACTGTGCCGTCATGCACAACCTGCTGGGCCCGGCCTGCATTTTCCTGCGTAAGGGCTTCGCGGAGAACAGGCAGCCTGTACGTAAGTTGGGCCCGATGGAGCTGTGCTCGACTAGGCTTCACAGGGCATGAGGAGGTGCTGGGAAGAAGAGGGTGCTCTGTGCACAGCAATGCGCATCCCCCAACAGACACACCTCAAACCCTCAGCTTATGAATCTGACCCCCAAACTTTCCTGCTCGTGGCTACAAAGTACTGGGGAGTCTGTATCCACCAGCCAGAAATAATAGCAGCTAATATTGTTCGGATTTTTTTTTTATGACTTATTATGTGCCGGGCACTGTGCTAAGGGCATTGGTGCATTGCCTCAGAGCAACTCCAAGAGGTAGGTACAATTATCACCTCCATTTTACAGATGAAAAAACTGAGTTGGAGGGGTAACATGCTCAAGGTAATGGCTGGTAGGCAACAGAGGTAGGATTCAGACTTGGGGAGTCTGACTCAAGGGCCTCCTGTGCTCTGGACCACAGTACTGAATACGTGGTACCATCGAGCAGAACTTTCTATGATGATGGAAACATTCTACAATCTTCACTGCCCTGTGTGGCTCTGAGCCCTTGACTTGTGGCTAGTGCAACTGAGGAATTGTTATTAATTTTCTTTGATTCCAGTTCAGATTTAAATAGTCACCGGTGGCCAATGCACTGGACGGCCTCCTAGAAGTATCTGAACTGTCATGGAGAGGAGGGGGTTAATGATCTTACAGATTCAAACACTGGTAGGTTCTGTTTATTGAATACCACCCGCTGAACACTTTACACATCTCGCCTCACAAAGGCCCTGTAGGGTGGATATTAACCCATTTTACAGATGAGGAGAGTATGACTCACACAGTTGAAGGGATCTGCTCAAGGCCTTATAGCTAGGAAGTCAAGAGGCCAATTTCTTCTCCCCAGCCGCGTAAGTGAGGGAGCGAGGAGTGTGGTGGGCTCCATTCCCACCTGACCCCCTGGATTGGTCCTCATGGTTTCTCTGCCACATTGGTGGGCATCTTCAGCTCCACCACACACCACCCCCTGCTCCGCACTGGGGACTGTATGATTCAGGGACCAGCCAGACCAGCTCTGGCCACAGGCACACTGCCAAGGGGTACCCAGGTTTTCTGCTCCCTGGCTCCAGGTTTACAAGAAGTATAGAGGGGGCTGCAGAGCTGGGTCCTGGAGAAGTGAGGCCTGTGGGGTGGGAAAGGACTTGTCCCTTGTCCCATGAGCTTTCTCTGCACATGTGTGTACACACATAGACACGCTGACACTTTAACTTACTCGGGGTACGGGGCATTGGGTAAAACCTCCTTTTTGGTTACCCAGGATTCCAGGTTGCTAGGAACAGCCAGTGGGTGACAGACTTAGGAAGAGGTAGGTGTTAAAGGCAGTGACCACCCCTGCCCTGGGCATCGTGACAGGCTTTTTAAGTGGCAGTCCTTCCAATCATCCCACAGAGACACACACCTTCAGGTGAATCCTCCCCGCAGCTAGAAGCGTCACTGGCAGGACCTGGCAGCCTGCAGCCTGCTCGTTCCAAGCTCGCGTACGCTCTCGGCACAGTCCTGCCATGTATGGCCACTTCTGAGTGCTGGGTCCTTCTTGTGCAGATGTTTGTCCCAAAAGATGTTGTTCAGCCGCCCCTTTCTAGAAGATTCTCAGATTTCCCAGTGCTGGGGGCCCTTGCCCCGGGGGGCCACTTTGGAGCAGGTGAGTGAGCAGCAGCCTCTCCTTCCGCCCTGGCCCTGCTGGCTAGAGTGGCCCATGTGCACAGCTGAGATGCCCCACACTCACTGTGGCACACTCGTGTTGTCTGTGTTTCGCAATCGGTGTGCCCACACCTGGAGTGCGCTTCCTCAGGGCGGGCACACCCTGCCCCATTCTCTCCCCGCCCAAAGGCAGGGAGCTGTGACATATGGGGAGGATGAGCCCCGTGGACCAGTTCGGAGCCTGCAAAGCGTGTCCAGCTGGGCACCGCATCCATTTCATGTCAGTCTGTCTCCCTCCTGGGCAGACCTGGGGCGACTGGCACCTCACCAGCCGGAGCCTGCCCCCTGCTTCCTCCAGGCCTGCTCTTTGGAGATGTCTCTGCCATCTGTTCGGATGCCTCGCCCCAGGGCTGCCTTGACTCCCCAAGGAGACCTGGGCCCTGCATGAGGCTGGAGACTTGTACTTTGGACCCTGGTGGCCACCACCGCCAGAGGCACTGGCTGCCCCCAGGGTCCTATGCTGTGTCTTGTGACAGGGCGAGGTTAGGGTTGGGGGTCCAATGGGAGAAGGTGGGGCGGTGCCCAGGAAGCAGGGCACAGCCCTCATCCTCCCTCCACACCCTCAGCTCCTCCTCCTCCTCTTCCTCGCTCTGGGTGCCTATCTGGTCCCCGCTTTCTCTCCCCACTGCCCCTCGCTTCTCCCATTGCCTTGCAGGCCGCTTCTCCTCTGCTCTTCTTGGTTTCGTCGTGGGGAGGGGGTGCCCTCCTCTTTCTGTCGTGACCTCCTGCTAACCCTGTTTTATTTACAGGCTTTTGCCTCCAGGCCAGCTCTGTTCCCTGACACATTCTTGTGTCTGGAATCAGGAGCCGGGGGCGCAGGGGTTCTGTGCCCAGGATGGATGGGGATCCTGGGCCCCTGGGCATCTCCTGTGTCTGCGGGAGATGTGGGGCTGCATCTTTTCCCTTCCAGGACGTGGTCCAGGCACGCCTCTGCTGCTGCCCCATCACATCCCCCAAGAGCCTGCTGCCACTCGGACGGCCCTCGGCTGGGCATGGTATGACTGCTGGGCCCCTTGCAGCTGCTAATAGGGTATGTTCTTCTGTTTCAGGACAGATCACTGCGGCCGGAGGAGATTGAAGGTAAGGCCAGCCCCTTAGGGGCCATCCAGGAAGGTGAGGGAAGGGAGGTGGGTGAGAAGAGAGGCAGAGACACCTGGGCCTCCTGCCAGTGGCGCCTGAGCCGGGCATCCTCCGCGGGGCCAGGCATTGGAAGAATGCGCCAGTCGGTGGGCCCTCGGGCTGCCTCTGCCCCAGAGGCTCTGAGCACCCCACCCCGCCACGTCCACCTTCATTCTCCTCCCCAGAGCTCCGGGAGGCCTTCAGAGAATTTGACAAGGACAAGGACGGCTACATCAACTGCCGGGACCTGGGCAACTGCATGCGCACCATGGGCTACATGCCCACCGAGATGGAGCTTATCGAGCTGTCCCAGCAGATCAACATGAACCGTGAGTCCCTCCACCGGGCGCCTCCTTCCGCCCCCGTCCTCACCCCTGCTGCCCTCTGCCCGGACCCAAGTTCTGGGCCCACCTCTTCCCAGCTCCGTGACCCAGGGCAAACCACTGACCCTCTCTGTGCCTCAGCTTCCTCACCTGTAAAATGAGGGGTGGAATACAGGGAGCAGAGCACTGGCAGTCAATCAGGGGCTATATTTATTTATTTATTTTTCTTGTTTATTTATTTATTTATTTATTGGCAACAGCTTTATTGAGCTGTAATTCATATACCATTCAATTTATTCGTTTATTTTATTTTTGTGGTTTGGGGGGGACTAAATTCAGTTTATTTGTATATTTATTTATTTATTATGATTGTTATTTTTTATTTAACGGACGTACTGGGGATTGAGCCCATGACCCCGTGCGTGCTAGGCTCCACCACTGAGCTATACCCTCCCCCTCAATTTACTCATTTAAAGCATACGCTTCAGTGGCTTTTAGTATACTGTTGTGCAACCATCACTGCCATCTATTGTAAAATATTTTCGCTGCCTCCCAAGGAAACCCTGTACCACTTTGCCATCACCCCGAAGTCCCTCCGCAGCCCTCAGCAACCACTAATCTACTTTCTGTCTATACAGATTTAGCTGTTCTGGAAATTTCTTTCTTTTTTTTAATTGAAGTATAGCTGATTTACAATATTATATTAGTTTCAGGTGTACAACAGTGATTCAAAGTTTTTATAG